GTCAAATGTCACGAACTTGCCACTTCACAGCTGAAACAGTTGAAGCTAGACTTCAGGTATATACCCTGTTGTACTGTGGTAATGAGGGTCTATGCTGTTGAAATGGGCCCACACAAGTCTATGCAGGGGGAAAGGTACTCAAAGTCCGTGGATCCCTTATGCCCGTGCCTAGGCAAAGGAGCTGTGCGTACCCTGATTTCCTGGCTTAGGGGAGATGGCAGATTATTTTTTCCTGTTTGTTAATTTTTTCCCTCTCCAAGGCAGGGAGAATGGCTCAGGGCCTGTGATGGGTCTTACTTACAGCCCAGGGGACTTGGCAATTGCTGCAGTGGTCCCTGAGCCAGTGCAGAGCAGGGAGCAGGGAGGTAAATGGGAGAGAGGTTTTTTCCTAATGGGGGTGCTTTTGATCTGTGCAGGCCAGACGCACGTACTTATCTGTCACCAATTGAGGGCTGTTTCTCACTGGTTCTGGATGGCTGAGTAGACTCTCAGCCACGGAGTCTCTCCTGGTGTGAAAAACGCCTCCCGAGTGCCACTGCTTGCTTATCTCACCGTGCACCCCAAGCTGATCTGGGCTAAAGGGCTCCGGCTCCCGCTGGGTCAGGTCTGGCAACTCCTCGCTGCTTCCAAACCATCTTTCCCTCCCCCTGCTACTCAGTCTGATTCCTCAATTTTGCCTTTGATGTTCAGGGCTCCTAGATTGTCATATATAATTGATTCACTTGTTTTTCCGGGTCTTTGTTGTAAGAGGGACCACCAGAAGCATGTGACTACTCCATCATCTTGGCCCTGCCTCTTAGTGCTATTATTCATTGTACCGTTTTTAACTGAACAACCAACAATTATATAAACAAAAATATCTTGGTCATATGTCTTCCAAAATTGAAAGTATTCCAGTTCTAATTCAATTTAGAGCTTGTCCATAAATCACGTGAGACAAATTATTACTGGTCCCAATTTAATTGTGTGGCTTTGGCCCTATGTACATTCTCATGAATGTTGGGTAGAAAGAAAGCAAATCTCATTACACAGAAATTCCAAATAAATGACATAAGAATAATTATTTATCATATTCTTATTAGTTTTAAAACTGAAGTAACTTTTTTACTGTATCATCTTAGGTAAGCCAGATATATGTTTTGCAAAATCTCCTTGTCTGTGTGGTTCTGAGGTAGGCTTGACCACAAGATAAATTTGGGTAACAAACTGAAAGACAGAAGTGAGAAGAAGCTATATTTATGCCCTGGGGGTCAGTGTAAGACCAAGCACTACTACAGCTCATACACATTGTTGCTGATCTGCTGGCTCACCTTGTTGATGTAGGGCAGCAGCCAGGTCTGTGGTTCCTCTAGTTCCTTTAGCTTCTTCAATCCTAAACCAGGTACAGTAAAACCTGTGAAAGCTGGAACTTGTGTGAGGTGGAAGTCTGTCAGAAAAGGAAAACTAAAATATTTTTCACTAAAATGAGTGATAGAAAAGTGGTAAGACTATACCCTATCAAAGGTGGAACAACTTGTGAGGCCTGGAAAAACAAAGTAGTCTCGTTGAGTTCTAGCTGTCACAGATTTCACTGTATATGTTAAAAATGCCAGCTTATCTTGACGGTCACCTATACGACCAACGTTGACCATGAAAGAAAGATATAGCTTCCAGTTTGCCCTCATGGGTTCTGATGCTTCATCACAAGTTGGGCTTGTGTTTCCAATAAAGTATGGTGAAGTGAGGTTACGTTCTGAGGCTGGTCACAGTATAGCCTCTGTCTTGTTGGCTGGAACAGTCACTCTTGGATTCCTAAGCTGTCATGAGAAGAGTCTGACTACTTTGAGGCTCCCATGCTGTGAGGAATCCAAGCAATGTGAGGACATGTTTAGTCACCCTAGTCAGCAGTCTAGTCTTTGAGTAGTTCCAGCCCAAGCACCAGGTGTATGAGTAAACAAGTCTTCAGGTGATGTTAGCTCCCACCTCCAATCTTCCAAGTTTTTCCATTTGATGCCCCAGATATTGCAGAGCAGAGACCAGCTATCTATGCTGTGTGCTGTCTGAATTTCTGACCCACAGAATCCAGGAAAATAACATTGTTGTTTTAAGCCACTATGTTTTAGGATACTTTGTTACATAGTCATAGTAACGGTGACCAAGTCATGCAAACCATTACTGTGAAATTGTGAATGAATACTTGAGGCTAATATTTAGCTTTGAGGGCAGTCAACAGTCAATGTGTTTATAATTGTTTTAAAGTCTTATGTAAATGAGATACTACTACCTACCCGTTGCCATCGAGTAGATTCCAACTCATAGCGACCCTCTAGGACAGAGCAGAACTGCCCCCTAGGGTTTCCAAGGAGCAGCTGGTGGATTCGAACTGCTGACCTTTTGATTAGCAGCCGAGTTGTTAACCTCTGCACCACCAGGGCTCTGTAAATGGGGTAACAGATGTGAATATTCCTAATATCATGCCTGAAAAATAAATGACAAAAATTCATTATTATTCCAAAAAGAAATGTTATGTATATATTTGTAGTTGATTTTCAATATTCATGATAGTTATGTACTATAAAGTCACTACAAACATTGAATAAGTGAATATTGAGCCACTGCTCCTGGAAAAATAAGGCATTATTTTCCTGTGAACCTCTGGTCACAATATTTTTTATCACATGGTAAGTACAAACCTTGTTTTATGTGTGTTTCTGTTTAAACACACTGTATTTAATATGTTTCTTACAAATAATTAATTGTATGCAGTATTCCTTCATAATAAAACACTAGTTGAGAAGGTTTTTTTTTAACATTTTTCCGATCCTGGGTAACCTGACTGCAAATTTCTCTGGTTTTCAGTTTCACAATGCTATCTACTATGCCTTTTTTTTTTTTTTTAATCTGTCATCATCTCGTGAATCCATAAATTTAGACGCTTTTCCATCTTTTCCACTTTTAGAACTTTCTGCGGCTGCTTCAAATACGGATAGGTGAATTTCCTCTTCCTTTTTTTTGGATGTACAGTATTGTTGATTCATTAACATCGAACTCATGGCCCACAGCATTATAACTCATGCTCACATGAAGCTTATGTAGCACATGTGTTTTCTCTGTAAGGCACATCACAGCCTTCTTATGCTGAGGAACCCTAGACAGCACTTCACATTACACATGGGGCCATTTCAAACAGGAAATCATCAAAAAAAAAAAGAAAACATGGCATATAAATAGACTGCAAAAGGACACTTGTTTACAGTATGAGAGCTGAAACAAGAAGGCAGAGTGTCACCTTGTTCAGTATCAGCTAGGAGGATGCTTTTAGGAAACATAGGAAAAATATATATTATATATACGTAAATATGTGTGTGTATTCAGAATTTATAAAAATTAAAATTTAGGTAAGCTTAATGCATCACTTCATTTTGGTGAGGATTAACTCTTCATTCTATGCACTGAGATGTGATCAATCATCTCTACTTCATGCGTTAAAAGAAAAAAAAAAGATACTAGACTGGTACAACTCTGCATACAGATTCCAATGATATGCCAGGTCCAGGACTCAATGGTTATTAAGGCCCCTTTAATGCTAATAGAGATATTAACAGTAAAAACTAAAAACCAAACCCGTTGCCGTCGAGTTAATTCTAACTCATAGTGACCCTATAGGGCAGATTAGAACTGCCCCATAGAGTTTCCAAGGAGCCCCTGGTGGATTCAAACTGCTGACCTTTTGGTTAGCAGCCACAGCTGTTAACCCCAAGCCACCAGAGTTTCCATATTAACAACAGCTACCATTTAATCAGTATTATTTGACAAATACTGTGCAAAGGACTCTCTAGATATCTTAGTTAATCCTGCAAACAGTCCTCTAAATAAGTTATTACTTTACTCACTTTCTACAGGTGAGAAAGCTAGTACTCAAAAATGTTCCCAGCAAGAAAATACTGGATTTAGGATTATATGATAGTTCACTCTCATTTTCTCTGTTTTATTAAAAAAAAAAAAAAAAAAAAAAACCAGAGCCGTTGCTATTGAGTTGATTCCAACTTATACAGACCCTTTAGTTTTATGAAGTACTCTAAAAATACAATAAAACCACATGTGAGGATTACATAGTGATATGGCTACTCATAGACAAAATAAACCTGTAGTTCTCTAAGTCTGTTTTTATTTCTATGTGTGTAAGTACTTTTTGAGTTACAACTACTGATCTTCTTCGAGAACAGCATTGCTATTACAACTGTACAGTTCTAATATCCACCCAATCCATAAATTTTCTATATTTATAGACTTGTAATTTAAAAATATATACATGGAAAAACATACAGTACATACAAACCAAATGCAAATAAAAATCATTGAAAAAATCTTAGAAATTCTTTAAGCAGGTTATGTAGATCCTATTAAAAATGATTCTTCTATGTACAATACATAATCTTTAAAAATACTAACCCCAGAAACAAAAACTCTTTGGTTCAGCAAAAGGGTACTAAATGTGGAAATTCAATTTGTTAAGGATGCACCTTCTTGGGTTAGGCCTCAAGTACCTGGCTTAGCTTTGCAGGAAGCATATAGCTGACTTTCTCTGAATGTTAAAAGCATGGGTGGGGAGTGGGTAGATGGTGCTTTTCACACAGAACATTATCATATGAAAATATAGCCAGAAGTTTGAATACTGGAGGAACCCAGACATAATTTTTACTCTGCAAGATTCAAAAGCTGTAAGATAAAACGATCAGTCTCTTCTTGTCCAGAGCAAAAGAGAAAGAGAAAGAAGTAAAATAAAGATTCAGAGGAGAAACATGTCTACAGAGCTAACAGGCTACATGAACCATGGCTTCATCTAGCCTGAGATAAGAACTAGATGGTGCCTGGCTACCACTACCAACCATTGAGATCAGGGCCAGAATAGATGGATCCTGATAGTAGGGGAGAAAAATGTGGAACAGAACCAAATTCTTAAATAGTCTAGACTTACTGGACCAGTTGAGACTAGAGGACTCCCCAAAGTCTATCACCCTGAGATACTCGATAAACCCTGAACTGAAACTACCCCCTGAGGTCACCTTTTAGATAAATAACAGATTGGCTTACAAAATAAAACTCTCACCAGTGAGTACTTGACATCCTTAAAAAATCATCTATATGAGACCAAATGGTGAACAAGTACTCTAAGGAAAGATGAAAGATGAAAGGGTAAGGAGGCAGGGAAACCAAAGTACCAGAAATAAAACATCCAGAATGGAATTAATGAGAATGTGGACACACTGTCAAAAATGTAACCAACATTACTGAACAATTTGTGCAGTAATTATTAAATGGAAATCTGATTTGCTGTGCAAATTTTGACTGAAAACACAATAAAGTATTACTAATTAAAAAAAGAAAGATATAGAGAAAACTCTGCCTCCCATCCATTTTGGAAGGGAAGTGGAGGAGATGATCATGGTCAATACATATTTAAAAAAAAAAAAAAATCCACTAGTAAAGTTCTTAGGCACTGGCTCCCAGTGCTGTTGAAATTACCCTATCTTTATTCTGGAAGATTGCAAGGAGGAGACAGGAGGAAGGTAGATACTAGATGACCCTTTTACTTCCTATGATTTCTCCAGAGTTCTCCAGCGGCTTGCCTATCTTAGCAATCTAGAATTATAAACACAGTCATGACCCAAATGTCTTAAAAAAGAGTTCTTAACTCAGCAGTGATTATAGTGCATCAACATTCACCAATGAGGTTTTCATTAAAAATTAACTGTGGTTATTCTATACTCTTTTGGTTTATTAATAACAACAATCACAGAATTGGGAAAATACCTCAGGGTTTCAAAGAGTCAGCAAGTTTGCCTCTTAGAATTCATTCTTCTCTGTATTTAAGGGGAAGGAAAAGCTTTCCTAATTTGTTCCTCTATGTGTTGTATTTTGTTTTGGAAAGCTTTAGTATATAAGTTAAAATCTTTCCAAAGTCCCATCATTTAACTACACATCATAACCACCTTTAACAAAGTTTTCGAAAAGTCTTTGAGGTATCACAGATGGTCATAGGAGAATGAAAAAGCATTTTTTCCCTAAATTCCCCAATAGCATATAATCACCTGGTTGAAATAATTAACTCATTTACTTTAGAAACAGGTAGCACCTTCCCCAGGTGTCTGGGGATAGGATGACACGAGTATATTTCTAGGCTGAATGCAGGTGAAGGTCAAGAGTCTCTATTTATTGCCAAGATTTCAGCAAGCCACCATTTTAAAATGCCATAATGCTTACTTGGAGATTTGAGAGCTGGGGAAACCTTCCAAAATTCACCCTTAATCTTCTTTCTATGTACATGACTTAGTTGCTCAACAGCGAGACCTTTTTAAACCTTATTAGGTCGCAAAGGAGAGGAGTATGACTGAGATGGAGCAATAGAATGCAGAGAAAACTATGCCTCTTCAACAAAAATAGTTATGACCGTGAGGAGGGGAATGGAATAGCGATCAACATTTGAGAAAAACAAAAAATTGAACACATGAATAATTAACAACATCTAGATGGGACATTATAACTCAGAACTACCCTCAACTCATGGACAGGAATTTATTTTCCCCTAATGGTCTTCCAAAAGCTACTGTAATACTCCAAAGAGAGAAATAATCAGAGTTGGATTATTGATCCATATAGTCCTCTTCCATAGTGAATATGCAGTAATCATCTTTGCTTCCGTCAGAAGTCTTTATCCCAGCCTGACAGCTCATCTGGAGGCACTCCCTTTTCGGGGGGATACTTGTCAAAGTAGCTGTGATCTGTGGGTCCACTGAGCTAATAAACAGAAAGGATTAAAACAAAGGTGAGGATAATGTTGACTAAGCATGCTATTACGTATGGGTAATGCTTTTTCTATCTGAACACTGATTTTATATTGCACTCACTTGTAAGTTAAATACAAAGAAATGATGACTGATCATCATACTTGAGTCATAGTCTCAGCCTCATGAGATCTCCCTTTCAGAACCAAATGAATTTGGTCATTGTATTGCATTCCATAGGAGCTACCTGGCATGAGAAGATATTTTCTAAAGAAAAGGGACAGAAATGATGTTTTTCTTTATTTTCAAATCGAGAAACTTTTTTTAAAAGTGAATATTTAAAAAAAAAAAAATTGCCAGAGTTGTTCTTCTATTTTATAAAAGTTTCTCACCAAGCTTGAATCTTTATAGTTCATTGCACCATATAAATCCTCCAGAATGCCAAACAAAGGGACAATTCAAAATATTAGTGACCCTGCTGAAAGTGAAATGACTCAAGTATCTGATTATTTTGCAAATTAGGCGGTTTCCAATTCTTTGCCTTCAAATAAATTTAAGTAGGATGTAATTGAAATGTTAGCAGGTAGATCATTAAAAATATTATTTATGATAGAACACAACATAATGTTTTTTGTAGGGGAGATAAATGAGCAGGAGTTCAAAGTGACATCATTATAACAAAACCCTTCCACTCCCATTTACTTATGTAATAGTGCTTTTAACACTTGCATCTATAATAATAATAACAATAACAATAATAATAATAGGAATAGAATTGATGCTGAATCTAATCTCATTCTTTTAATAAGTGATATTTATCCACGGGTACATTAAATGATTTCTTTTCAAACAAATTTTAATAACCACCTTTAAAAATTCATCATATATTTGTCATTTCATAGGGCATGCTAGAAATGTAATTATAACTGAATCTAGAAGGAACATTTGTGTTGTCACAGAATTTCTATTGTCACAATAATTTTTAAATTTTCAATACTCAATCTAAAAGCACTTAAATGATGATCAATAAAAGACTGACAAGCATTAAAGTATTTTACATTAGGATGGAAAGCTGAGTGGAAATAGAAGTTCAGGGAGAAAAAGGAATGATGCAATATTTCTGCCTGTAGTTCTTAAATGGCTGATGAGTACCAAATCTCAGTGGTGTTTAGATTATACTGGGTATATTTAAAGGAGTGAAGTAACAGTGATGTTTTATTTTAAATGTCAACGTTTAGAACATATTAGAAATTGCATTCTCCCAAATCATTTAAACTTACAATAAAAAAAATTCAGATGGCACTCTAAAAATGTGCAAAGGATGAGACAGATCTTCAAAATGCACATTAGCATCCAGTTGGTAGGGTGCTGACCTAGATCATTTCTGAGTCATCTTCCACCCAAGTTAGCAGATGTTCTGCTCTCTCTAGAGCTGCGCTATCCAATAGGATAGTCAATAGCAACATGTGGTGACAGAGCACTTGAAATTTGCCTGGTCTAAATGGAGATGTGCTTAAGTGTAAAATACACTTAGTATTTCAAAGAATTATTGTGAAAAAATGAATGTAAAATTGTCTCATTAAGATTTTTATATTGATCTCATGTCAAAATGATAATATGTATGGATATATTATGTTAAATTAAAATTAATTTAATCTGTCTCTTTTAGCCATTTTTAATTAGTTACTAGAAAATTTAAAATGGTTTGCATTAAATTTATATATGGTTTGCATTATATTTCTGGAGCCATCTGTAAGCCTGACCAACACTGACTACTTTGGGACTTAGGTGGCATCTACGTGTATTTGGTTCCTGTGAGCTAATATTTATTAAACAGGCAATACTATTTAGTCCCTACAATCACAACTACTATGAAATTTTCACTTAATTAAAAAAAACTATTTAAAAAAAAACTAAAATTTGTTTAAAAACACTTAAAATATGTTTTAACAATAACAAAAAATTCCTAGGAAAAACATCAATAGAGTAGTGTAGTAGATACCATACCTCTCTTTTTAAAGGTGACGGAAGGTTCCGTGCTTTCAGTCCCTCCCAGTTAAAACCATTTAGCCACCTAAGAAATAAGAAAAGTACAGAGGAAAATTATTTGCCTAATACATTATTAGCATGTCAATTTATCTGTCAAGATGATTTTGTTGCCTGCTCTATGCCTAAATCAGTGAAGCTGAAAGAAGCCAGAGGAAAACACAAAACCATGCTGGTTGTCTATTCTTACATTAAATTCATGCCCACTAACCTCAAGTGAGCACTTAATGCCACTCAGCAATTGTACTAGATTTCCCTGGTACACTAATTCTCACACTCCCATAGATTCGTCATTAATACTTTGTCTTCTCTCCCCAACTTCCAATACCTCCTTCCCATCCTTACTCTCAACTTATGTATGACCTTGCTTCCTATTTCACTGAGAACACTGAAACAAAAAAGAGAACTTCCACCAGATCCCACCAGCATATCTACCCTCCTGCTTACATCTGAAGGAACTCTGGTGGCACAGTGGTTAAGTGCTCCACTGCTAACTGAAAGTCAGCTGTGCCATTCCAGCGGCTGTCTGCTTCCATAAAGATTACAGCCTTGAAAGCCCTATGGGGCAGTTCTACTCTGCCCTACAGGGTCACTGTTAGTAGGAATCAACTCAATAGCAATGGGTTTACCTACATCTGTGCTTTACCTTCTCTCTCATACCATGAAATAACTGTCGTTGCTTCTAGCTAAGGTCAACTCCTCTACTGCGTATTTGATCCTATCAGTTCTTGCCTATTCAAAGATGTGATCCAGCAAGTCTCCCTGCTCCCACTCCTGAATCTTCAATAATATCCTTTTCTATTGGATCAAGGCCGTTCAAAAAAAAAAAAAAACCAAACCCGTTGCTGTCAAGTTGATTCTGACTCATAGTGACCCTATAAGGACAGAGTAGAAATGTCCCATAGTGTTTCCAAGGAGCAGCTGGCAGATTCGAACTGGCAACTTTTTGATTAGAAGCTGAGCTCTTAACCACTGCACCACCACGGCTCCTCAATGACATTAGTATACAAATATTATTATTTTTTGCAACAACAAAACACCTTCCCTTGATCTGAGTTCCCCTCCAACTCTCACTTCATTTCTCACCTTTCCACTACGGGAGAACTCCTTGATTAGAATTATCTAATCACTATCTACCCATTCTTTCCTGACCACACTACAATCAGGTTTCAACCTCTCCACTCCATTGAATCTTCTCAATTCTCAGTTTTCATCTTACTTGACCTATTAGCAGCATTTGTCACAGTTTATCCCTCACTTCCTGCAAAAGGTTCTTCACTTGGCTTCCAGGATGCCCTATTGTCCTGGCTTTCCTCATACCTTTCTGGGTGCTCCTTCTTCTTCTGTACTACTGCTATTTCTTTATGAAGTTGGAGTACTACAGGGTTCAGTCCATGGACTTCTTTTTCTACTACTCTCATTTCCTAGTTAATCTAATTTAGTCTCATGGCTTTAAATAGCATTTAGACACTGAATACTGGAGGCAGGGCCAAGATGGTAGAGTAGTCAGACACTTCCTGTGGTCCCCCTTACAACAAAGGCCCAGAAAAACAAGTGAATCTATTATATATGACAATCTAGGAGCCCTGAACATCAAAGACAAAGTTGAGGAATCAGACTGAGCGGCAGGGGGAGGGAAAGACAGTTCACAAGCAGCGAGGAGTTGCCAGACCTGACCTGGCCAGGTCCAGCACCCTGCAGGCAGAACTGGCCAGCGTGCAAGGGGTGAGGCAAGCAATGGTGCTCAGGATGCATCTTCCATGTCGGGAGAGACCAAGAGGCGGAGGGTCTGCTCAGTCCTCCAGAACCAGTGAGAAATGGCGCTCAGTTGGTGAAAGATAAGTACAAGCATCTAAGCTACTGTGCAGATCAAAAAAAAAAACTCTTTTGGGAAGTACCTCTCTCCCATTTGCCTGCCCCTTCCCACTCTGCTCCAGGCCCCAATCCAGCTTCAGTGATTGCTGAACCCCCCAGGCCTGAAGTAGGACCCCTTGCATTCCCTGAGCCATTCTCCCGGTTTTGGAGAGGGAATACATTAACAAGCAGTAAAAAATAATCTGCCAGCTCCCCTAAGCCAGGAACTCAGGGCAGGCACAGCCCCTTTGCCTAGGCACAGGCATAAGGGGTTCATGGACTTCGACTGCCTTTCACCCCTGCATAGACCTGTGTCGGCCCATTTCAACAGCATAGGCCCTAATTAGCACAGTACAACAGGGTATATGCCTAAAGCCTATTTTCATCTGTATCAGTTATAAGCGACAGTGGAAAATTCATGACATTTGACACCACCCTGCCCATTAAGCAGGGTCCTTACCTACCCACATCAGAGGCCTGAGGACTGGTGGCTTCACTCACTCCACTGAGCTACCTGTGACAGGGGTCCAAGAATAAGTGGTAACTCCCAGTCCTTACAACCGACAGCACTGGGTGCCCATAATCCAGATGCAAAACCCACCTACCTATGCACTTTAGGGAACAGGGACATGTCTTCCATCCAGACATTCAGGGGCAGCAGTCAGTCCCCTGCCTTGATCAGCACATGACCCCCTACTGCAGCCAGATACCTGTGCCTACTCCAATCACCCCTGCTCATCTAGGACTGTAGGTGAAAGCCTGCACCGCACACTCGGTGACCAACAATCTGGACACCTGAGCTGAATCCATACAAGAAAAGTAAACAGACTCCTGGGCTCACATACTGAGTAACAGCTCTAGCCACATGGAGACAGGACGTGAGAGCTTCAAAGACGCCAAAAATCAAACTAGCTCACATGACCAGCCTATTTGGGTATATCAAAACAAAACAAACAAACAAAAAACAAGAAGCTAGGACACAGTAAGCAAACATAAAATAATAAATATAATAACTTATTGATGGCTCGGAGACAACAGTCAACGTCAAATCACATAAAGAGGCAGATCACGATGGCTTCAGCAAACCACCAAAACAAAGAATCAAGAAACCTTCTAGAGGAAGAGAACTTCTTGGGACTACTGGAGGTAGAATTCAAAAGATTAATATACAGAACTCTTCAAGACATCAGGAAGGAGATCATGTGAAAGGCAGAACAAGCCAAGGAACATACAGACGAAGCAATAGAGGAACTTAAGAAGGTTACACGAGAGCTTAATGATAAATTTAACAGGCTGTAAGAATCCATAGAAAGCCAGCAAACAGAAATCCAAAAGATTAACAATAAAATTTCAGAATTAGACAAGTCAATAGAAAGTCATAGGAGCAAAACTGAGGCAAGGGAAGTCAGAATTACTGACATTGAAGATAAAGCACTTGACACCAACTTATTTGGGGAAAAATCAGATAAAATTAAAAAAAAAAAAAAACGAAGAAGAAACCCCAAGAATTACATGGGAATCTATCAAGAGGAATAACCTATGAGTGACTGGAATACCAGAACAGGGGGTGGATAACAGAAAATACAGAGAGAATTGCTGAAGATTCGTTGGCAGAAAACTTCCCTGATATCATGAAAGATGAGAAGATATCTATCCAAGAAGCTCGTCAAACCACACATAAGATAGATCCCAAAAGAAAGTCACCAAGACATATTTTAATCAAACTTGTCAAAACCAAAGATACAGAGAGAATTTTAAGAGTGGCTAGGGAGAAACGAAAAGTCATCTACAAAGGACAGTCAATAAGACTAAACTCTGACTACTCAGCAGAAACTATGCAGGCAAGAAGGCAATGGGATGACATACATAAAGCCTTAAAGGAAAAAAAATGCCAGTCAAGAATTATATATCCAGCAAAATTGTCTCTCAAATATTATGCCAAAATTAGGGCATTTTTAGATAAGCAGAAGTTTAGGGAATTTGTAAAAACCAAACCAAAATTACAAGAAATACTAAAGGGAGTCCTCTGGTTAGAAAATCAGTAACATCAAATAACAACTGAAGACTAGAACACAGGACAGAGCAACCAGATATCCACCCAGATAGGGAAGTCACAAAAAATAAATCAAAGCTAAAACACTGAAAATAGGGAAACAGAGACATCAATATGTAAAAGATGACAACATTAAAACATAAAAAAGGGACTAAATAATGTAGTCATAGATCTTTCATATGGAGATGAAGTCAAAGCAATATAAACAAATAAAAGATTGGTTTAAACATAGAAAAACAGGGGTAAATATTAAGGTGACCACAAAAGAAACTAACAATCCTATACATCAAAATAAAAATCGAGAAAAATTTAAAGACTCAGCAAATACAAAATCAACAACAATGAAAAAGATGAAAAGAAAATACATAAAGAAAAACAACTCAGCACAGAAAATTAAGTGGAACAAAGAAACTGTGAGAAACACACAAAAAAAGACATCAAAATGACAGCACTAAACTCATACCTATCAATAATTACACTGAATGTAAATGGACTAAATGCACCAATAAAGAGACAGCGAGTGGCAGGATGGATACAAAAACACAATCCATCTGTATGCTGCCTACAAGAGGCACACCTTAGACTTAAAGACACAAAAAAATTAAAACTCAAAGGATGGAAAAAATATATCAAGCAAGCAACAATCAAAAAAGAGCAGGAGTGGCAATATTAATCTCTGACAAAATAGACTTTAAAGCAAAATCCACCACAAAGGTTAAGGAAGGACACTATACAATGATTAAAGGATCAATACACCGGGAGGAGATAACCATAATAAATATTTATGCACCCAATGACAAGGCTCCAAAATACATAGTCACTGATTACTCCCAAATTTCTATTTTCAGCCAAACCACCCCCCCTTGCTTTGTAAAGCAATACAAACTATATGTATATGTATGTATAAACCAAAATCCAAACCAAATCTGTTGCCATTGAGTCTATTCTGACTCATAGCAACCCTATAGGACAGTGGAGAACTGCCCCATAGGGTTTCCAAGGAACGGCTGGTGGAACTGCAGACACTTTGGTTAGCAGCCGAACACTTAACCACTGTGCCACCAGGGCTATATATATCTATATACACACACATATATATATATACATATAGCTCAGAGCCC